GCCACTAAGACACAAGGGGTTACAGGGTGTGGAAGAATTAGGAACAGGAAACATTAATAATGAGTGGGAAGAGGAATGAGCAATCAGGAGAACAGTAGATAGCGTTTGACATTGCATTTAAATTATTGCAGATTAAAGTTGGTTGGAAAGCATGGAGCTGGAAGGGAGTTCCACAAGAAAGGCAGTAAAGCCACTAAGACACAAGGGGTTACAGGGTGTGGAAGAATTAGGAACAGGAAAAATTAATAATGAGTGGGAAGAGGAAAGAGTAATCAGAACAGTAGATAGTGGTTGATATTGCATTTAAATTATTGCAGATTAAAGTTGGCTGGAAAGCAAATAGCCAGAAGTGAGTTATTTTTTCTCACTTTTTGCCGCACACATACAAGACGAAAATGCATATGTGTTTCGACGTCTAATTTAGACATCTCATCAGGTGGTTAACATTACCACCAATATTAACCACCTGATGAGATGTCTAATTAGACATCGAAACAAATATGCATTTTTGTCGTGGTAACTTGCATGTTCCAATGTAACAGTTTATAATATCTATTACTCTACATCTGAGCATAAAGTATGTCGAAATTGTTCTGTGTATCCGGGCACTTTCGGTATACTTTTAGCTATTGTCAAGGAAGACAGCAGATAGCGATTGACATTGCATTTAAATTTTTGCAAATGTAAGTTGGATGGAAAGCATGGAGCCGGAAAGAAGTTCCACAGATGAGAAGTGCGAGAAAAGAAACTGTTAGCATAGAATTTACGACTACATGTAGCCAACTCAATTGGAAATTGATGAGATCTCGACGTCAGTCTAGAATTGCGCTTAAATTTATACAGTCATAGCGAAGAGCTCATCCGAACAATTACTATGAAAGAAGGCATATCCTAATTTATATTTTGTTTCAAAATGATAATAATATAGTTTCATGGAAGCTTGTCTAGAAATCTCTCTTTTTCTACTCATATAAATATAATATTAAAGTTGTTTAACGATAGTATTCTAATCGGATCTGTATTAACACTAAAATCTGCTAGGAAGTAATTATTTCGGGGTTTTTTAATCGTTAAAATATTGCGAAAAGTTTTATGTTCATCGTAGATGTGGGCGTTTTAAATAAATAATTAAAAATTAAATATTACAATATTAAATAATAGGCATTTTCAAATAGAAATATTTTTATAGTTTCAAACTCTCCTCATTAATGTTGTTAACTATAAAATGTATTTCACTGGTTGTGTTCCAACCTTTAATCTTTCTTCTGGGGTAGAAAAGAACACTGCTTGTTAACATGCTTTTATACTTAGCCAAACTTGATCTTGTCCTCTTTAAATTATACATGATAGTGGGATTTAAACAGGTATTCCTTTCTTCATACACCGTGCGCAACAACAAAACAAATCTCCCTCCAGTAAGGCCAGAAGAGAAAAAGAACAAAAAAAAAAATATATATATATATATATACTCGCACCTACAACACTCCGCAGTTCGGTCACCCCCCAAAGATTATAGAAATCCCTTCATCTTCAACTTCGACGCCAATTGTCCCAAGATCTCTTAATAAAGTTTTTTTTTCTCATTATTTATCCATTATCATTACCGAGACCTTTTCATACTTTTCAATGTATATGCTGTAGATAATTTAATTCTCCATACACATATTGTATACCATTGTACATCCTTCATCTACTTTTCTTTTTGTGTATTGCAAGAAGGGCGTTTATTTCATTTTTTTTATACCACTTCACAAAAATAAGGAAACGCAGACAACAATAGGTGGGGGATGCAAATATGTGGCACTAAAGAAAGAAAAACAAACAAAAAATAATGAATAGTAAAATAGAAAATAAATTTAAGATTATTTCACGTGATGCTTTCATTTTAATGATGTATGTAAACTTTCTGAGTATATCAAATCTGTGATGTACGAAATGTAAAACTAGTCACCAACACTAATAATAGCAACAATAATAACAAAGCGATGAGGTGCTGAAAAGTTAATTTCCCAAAAGCAGTATTTTAATGATCAAATATCAGAATATTGATTTTTGTGGAAGGAGACTTAGAAAGCCCCCCCCCCCACACACACACCTATGTAATAACAAGAATAATAGCAACACCAGCATCACCAAGAATAACAATAGAAACAATGATAATAATTATTTCAAGATAAGATAGCGACGTGCCTTGAAAATCGCAAAATCTAGACCTTGACATTATTTATAATAAATAAAAACAGCGGCCAGATTTGAGCCTTTCGCGTAATAATATTACATCGTATCATAAACAAAACCTTTGCTTAGCTTTTTGAATAAAGTCACATATATCGGAGTACCCAGTGAGGATCAAATCCGCTACTCAGTGAAGGTTAACTAGTCTAGCTTACACTGGCCTAAATTACACCTCTCTGTACTGAAATTAAAACCATTGTAATTTAATGATCTGAATCGTTTCGTCATTTCTAGAAGAAAAAAAATCCCTCTATAAAAACAGGGAAAAGTAACTCATTTGACAAATAACTTTAGCTAATGACTGTAATTTGTTATACACGTGTGACATCGAGATTAAAATGAATGACGGACTCTTCAAATGGCACTATTTTGTCTAAGTTGCAAATCAACCGCTTAAAAAATTCTGTATCACATAATAAAAAATGTTCAGGTCTTTTAGTTAACTTAGACTTGAACGTGTTCTGCAAACAAAAAAAGGGTTAAGTACGCTTCATTTCTTTTAAAATCTTAAGTTGGTTTATTTTGCTTTGGTTAGTAAACTTTTGTAGAAAGTCTTATTAAGACGGTTCACGGGTCAACTGGCCGTCTACTGACCAACTCGGACGGAGTGCAACATAGGATTTTTCTGAGACATATAAATTCTTGGTAACGTAGACGCGAAGAAATGCGGATGCATGTATGCTTAGAGTAATTGTTAAGAAAATGTCTGATTTCCAATTGAGAATTGATTCCGGTCTTGAAAACAATTACCAGTCAGATAAAAGTTACTATTGATCAGCCATGTTTGAGCTTAGACTTAACTATCGTTCTATTTTCGTGCGGCCTTTGACTCTTTACTACACTGAATCGTGAATTGATTCTTTTAGTAGTTTTAATATGCATAACCAAGTCAGGTGATGCTAAAAATATTTGAGACACATTTCCTGTTGATCTATATTCATAAACGGGGATGTCTCCCTACAGAAATAAATACAGCTTGTCATTGCATGTATTATTTTTTTGTTGTTGTCTGAACGTAATATAGACAAGAACAAACTGAAGATCAGCGACTTTGCAGCTTTGAAAGCTTAAGTATAAATAAATTATATAAATGAAATCAAATTGTTTCTAAGTTTTTAGTGTAAATTTTTTTCAAGTGAAGACAATATTTAAATTAGGTCTTTAAATATTAAATATATATCTATTAAAACGTGTATTTTAAAAAATAGTCTACATCTAAACACTTACATATATATTTCAACAACCCAAAAAATAGTTTCATTTCCGGTGCTATATTGATAAAATTTGTTACAATACAGCATAGAATACCCTGATCTCAATCAATGACAAAGGGACTTAACTGTGGACGACTTACAACAAAGGAGTACAAATGATCAGAACACCTTTTTATATAAGGCATTTGCCTGTGACTGCCAGAAGATTAAATATTTTTTTATACGTTCACTCTTTATTTCATTGTTTTCTCCTCCTCAAGCGTTCTTCAATCTTTAAAACCCTATTGTACCGCAATAAAGTTGTTACTTCTTTAGTCCCAATCCTTGATCCCTACCCCCAACTTCACCAGTAAAAGTCAATCAATTTGTTTATACAGAACGGACGGTGTCTGAATGGGGTCGATTAATTATAACTCGATTGCAACATTACTGATGGATGCGTTTTTTTTCCACATCGCAAGACACGTGCGTGCGCATCTATCATGTGATGGGGGAGTGTTTGGCAGTAGCTAGTCTCTTGAGTAGGCGAGTTATATAGAGAGCATGAAATTGAAATAGACACAGAGAGAAAAGATAGAATCGGGAGGCATCACTTGTTTATTTTAGGATTTTTTTTTCTTTCCAAAGACGTGTTCGTTCACTTCTCTTTGCCTTTCTGTATGTATTAATACACAACTGTAGGACGAAACTCAGCACTACCCTGAAACTTTTAGTTTTTAGTTTTATTTAATTTATCAAGAACTTACTAAAAGAAATACTCGATGGATGGGGGGTTAAGACAGATTATTTTGGTGAGAATAATTGGGATCTTTAGATTCCGACTGAGGTGACAGTGTCATGGCTAAAACGGATGTTTTAATACGGAAGAGAAAACATTAAATTGTTCGCTTTCGTTAATGGATTAATATTCAAAGTAAATTGTGAAAAGAAAGAAAAATAAACATTGAAAAGGGAACTTTTCACACACAACACAAAAGGGAGAGTTTATTGTTTTTCATTTTTTTAATCACAGGCCTTTTAAAGTAGTCTTTAATATTTATTCCTTTTAAAACAGTTACTGGCATGATTACTTGGCATTTTTATTTTTCTCTTGAAGCAGTAGATCCTCCAAACCGCAAAAAGTGAAAAAAATACAAAAAGAAAAAAATTATATGAAATATCAATGGCCCTTCATTTTCCTTTCACTATTTCCTTTATTATTCCGTTGCTTCTTGTGTGCATCTGAACAAAAACGTTTTCGCCAACTAAAAGCAGAGCGTTTCTATGAAAACAAAACGAAATAGGCAGAAAGGAATGGGTGTCCTTTGCTGTCATATATTTTATTTCTCTCAAAAAATTATCTGAAAACATGACTTCTTTCATATTCATATCTAAAAAAAATGTAGTTAAGTTTTTCATTCTCCGTCAACTTATCCTCTCCTTTTCCCTTACTGCCCCTTGATCTCTCCCTCACTGCCCCTTGATCTCTCCCTCACTGCCCCTTGATCTCTCCCTCTCACTGCCCCTTGATCTCTACCTCTCACTGCCCCTTGACATCGCTCTCTCCGACCCATGATCTCTCTTTCTTTGACCTTTGATCTCTTTCTCACTCTCTCTTTGACCTTGCTATCTCTCTCTCTTTGCCTCTCCTTGGTCTCTCCCTCTCTCTTTTTTTATCCCTCCTTCTTTCTTTGCCTTTCCTTGGTCCTTCCCTCTTTCTTTGCCTCTGCTTGGTCCATCAATCTTTCTTTGCATCTCCTTGGTCTCTCTCTCCCTTTCTTTGCCTCTCCTTGGTTTCTCTCCCTTTCTTTCTTTGCCTCTCTTTGGTTTCTCTCCCTTTCTTTCTTTGCCTCTCTTTGGTTTCTCTCCCTTTCTTTCTTTGCCTCTCTTTGGTTTCTCTCCCTTTCTTTCTTTGCCTCACCTTGGCCTCTCTCTTTCTTTGCCTCACCTTGGCCTCTCTCTTTCTTTGCCTCACCCTGGCCTCTCTCTTTCTTTGCCTCACCTTGGCCTCTCTCTTTCTTTGCCTCACCCTGGCCTCTTTCTTTCTTTGCCTCACCCTGGCCTCTCTCTTTCTTTGCCTCTCCTTGGTCTCTTTCTCTCTTGATCACTTTCTCTTTGTTCCTTCTTGATCTCTCTTTCTCTCTCTTTGTTTCTGTTCCCATACCGGGCATGTCTTAGATTGTATCTTCTTCAATTATTTTCTTCTCAACCATCATTTTCGTCTTCTGTAATATTTTCATCTTTTATTTTATTTTTTGTTTCCCCCCACCCCCACCACATCAAAATTCCACACCGTTTTTTTGCAAACTTGAATTCTCTTTTCCCATCTGATTGTTTCTCACTGTTCCACCTCACTCACGTTTTAAAATCGTTGGCCTGAACATGTACTGTATGTTATGTTATAAAATAAAAAGAAATGCAGTTTTTCGCAAAAATAAACTTTACAAAAGACACAGGCATCATACAAGACCAGTTTTCTTTTGTTCTTTCTTATAGTCATGGAATCTTTTCTTCGATATGAATTGCTTATCAAAAGATAATTTTTTGATTAAATTTCCGAACAAAATAAAAACCTCCATAGTAGAAAATAAAGAATGATTTTAGCAGTAAATATATTCCTTCTTATGTTAGAAAGGAAGATAGAAAATGGGCTATTAGATATCTTAGGATAGCTTATTGAAGTATTACAGTGATAGCTGTTATTTGATATAGTTTTCTTATGGGATTTTGTTTTTAATGATATTAACATTAGTAATTTTATTGTTACCTACTCAATGATTATTAAAGAATTAGATTGAATATATTGTTTATTACTGTTTTTATGATATTTGTTTGACTCACTAGATTGGGCAATGACAATTGTAAACTTTGCAATCAAGTGTAAACAAATAAGTATACGAAAGAGGCAGGTGACAGTTAAGTAAAATGACATGGATTTTTAAAATACCATTCATGAAACAAATAAGGTACATTTATATTGATACTGATACCGCTTCATAATAATTAACTTACTTTTTCTGGTTTAATGATATATAATTTTAACCTGGACATATTGCGATTAAAAGGCAACAATTATATTTAAACAATACTTTAAAATTAGAAAACTTTTCTTGGCTTTTCTTGTAAATTGTGTAACATTTTAAAATTAAAATTGTTACACTTGCATCATGGTAGACAAAAATTAGTTATCACGTTTGTATAGATTAGATTAAGGTACAATTTAATATATTTGGACGTAAAATGCATTTAATTATTAAACGTATAAGTTAATGGCTCGTTATTTTCTTGCTATGTCAGAGTTTTAAAAAGATCCAAATAAATATTATCAATAAGTTTTGTATTAAACTTAAAAATATTTGATGGTTATATGTGAATGTGATTAAATTCCATTTATCATTTATAATCGAAGTGTATACAATAGGTGCTGAAAAGATCTCAGCCAAAGAATCTTTTCAAAAAGTGAACTTTATAAGAATACGTCTGATTTTGGGAAGTGGATAGGATCGTAAACTTTTAATCATCGCCTCGTATATTGCTAATATACATATTATCAATTTTTTTGTTATTATTAATGTAGTTATTTATATTAATCTTTTCGACATATTACTGACACTATTGTCATCAGACGTTAGATGAATGTTAGTATGTTGAAATAATGATAGATATACTAATACACTTATTAAACGCTTCAACTATTATGGGACTAATGTAATTTCTAAAATATTTTTCACGATATTTTCTAATTTATAAACAAATACCTTACTCTTGAGAAAGTCTGACTGACATTAAATCTTGAGAAATTCCAATTAAAATGTCGACCTTTACAATTATTTTTGTAAAACATATCATTTTATATCGCTAGGAAGGTATAAATACATAACAGTATTTAAAATAATACTGAAGCAGTTTAGTATATTATATTATTCATACCAGCCTCCAGTGATGGAATTTCAAATTATATTTGTGCTTATAAAATTTGCTTTAGTTGAACAGTTGAAGTCAAATGCGGGTAACAGCTGGCAGAAAAATCTAACGTTTGCAGAAAAATCAATCTGAGTTTTATTATCTCTAAATTTTGATCTTTGAATGATGGATACAAAGAATAATCGAGATCAGGCAGGAAAGGTCACGAGTTCTTGAGGTCATAACTACGTAATTTCAATATAAAACGCATGTTAGTGGTCTGCGATTATATTCTTCCTATTTTGTGGCATGCCAACAAGTATTTGAAATTTCTAATATCGCATTGCCTCGACCTACACATCGCTCATACGTACATACATACATAAACACACACACACATATATATATATATATATATATATATATATATATATATATATATATATATGTTTGTGTGTGTGTGTAAAATATATCTGTCAAAGGAGAAAATGAATAAAAACAAAAGGAAAATTTATTTTAGCCAACACAATAAACTTCATCAGAGGAAGAAACGAGTTTTCCTTTTGTCTTTTATATATAATTTTCCTCACCGGTAGTAAAAGTTTCATGCACGATGCAGTCGTCAGGTGCTGTCTGAAAATTGACATGAAGAAGTTTTCAATTTTCAGTTTTCCATCAACGCTAAATGATTGTATCGTGAATGAAACTCTGTTGTTTTTTTTTTTACTATTTATATAAATTATAGCTCTGTTATTATACACCCAAGACTATTTTATCAGCACCAGCATTCAATGTGCGATTACACACACACACACACACACATATATATATATATATATATATATATATATATATATATATATATGCAACTTGAACCCAAATTAGATGGACTCTAGGTTGAATAGGGTTTGTGTTAGGGTTATATTATAACTATAAGATCAGTCCGTGAGTATCTTTGATGAAACATTTCCCGAGAAATGGATTGCCTGAAGAGGTCCAGTTCATTGGCCAGCAACATTCACTTGATTTTATTTGAATGGATGTCTTTCTACTTTTGGAGAATACTCAAGAACAAAGTTTCTATTCAAAAACTACGAAATGTTGTTGAAATGTTGAGAAATTACATCAAAGATGCATTTCAAGAAATTAATACACAAAGTTGCTTCTGCAAAAAAAAAAAAAGTTTGTCGACGCGTAGAAGGTAGACTTTAAATGGACACCAGTTTGAGCACCTGCATTGATCAAATTTTCACGGCTTTTCGATTGTCATATTGTATACAATAAAATTTAATTGTATATGTAATAACAGTTTATCAAAATTTAATTGTTTTAGAATATAATCTCAAAATAAATGTTATCATTTACTGTACACGTGCCTTTTGTTCGCCGTGTGCGTATATATATATATATATATATATATATATATATATATATATATATATATATATATATATATTATTTCTAGCATACATTTTCTATGGTATTTTATACAAATTTTCAAAGTGATACCTATTAAATCAATAACACAGAAAAGTGAAATTGAAATAAAGATTTAATAAAATATCTTCGTCTTATCTCTTTTTGCAATAAATAAATTATTTTTATGTATATTATAATGCTAGCTAAAAAATGACAGTGCAAGACAAATACGTGCATAAATGTGATGTTGTTCTACAAGAAAAGAATAAAGTTGCAGAATAACAATAATAAAGAAATTATAAGCGAAATCATAATTCTTTACAGGCTGATATCTCGGTATTTCAATTTTTTGTCACGTTCTTATGTGTACATTTAATGACGCGTGTCAGTCATGTCTTCTATAAAATCTATTTCGTTACTATGTTCTTTCAAGTTTTGTTTTATCTAAAAGCTTAAATAGCTGTCTGTCTTTCTACTTCATTATTTGTATATTAAATCATTTTAAACATGTTTGTCTAGATTTTTTGAAATAACTTTTATACGTCTTTTATTTTCACTTTTGATTTTTATAAACAAAATGCTTACATAGACTTATTAAAACTCTGGATAATGTTGGAAAATCTGTATATAAATATAAGGGAAAGCTATTTTATAATAAATTAAAATTTAATTTCCTTTTTCGATAATTAAACTTTTTACCACTGGAAGAGTCGAAAGCCTTAACCCTGGTGCCTCGGTTACATGAATTTCAGCGTGCTGCGGGATTGGCATCTAGAACCCACCCTTTTACCGTTGAAATAGTTAAATATAACCACCACTTCTATTCCAACCTCGTCCTTCCCGCATGTGGAACTCCCTTCCGTTTACTTGTTTCTCTGATAACTACAATGTTAAAAAAATTAAATGCAACGTCAATCGTCATCTTTTGTATTTTCCTCAATCGTCCCTATACTCAGTATTTTCTTTATTTTCACTTTCTGTATCCCCACTGCATACCTGTGGCATATTCGCTTTGCTTGAAATTATTTTAAAAAAAAGTGAAAATGGTTTTCACAGATGTTCTTCTCTTAGTACTGAACTAGAATAAAATCTCAGTTGACTGAAATTATCCTTTTCTTCACTTATTTTAAAAAAAGAATATAGTTCTTTTTAGATCTGTTTTATTAAGACATAACTAAAACCTGCACACAGGACTAACCAACTGAATCAGATGTACTATGTAGATTGCATCCTGAAGAAACCTATTGGCTAGATTACTCTTTCGTTTTTGTACTTTGAAGCTTACTGATAAAATCATGGCTGGTGGCTTAAATCATCGATAGAAAAGATTGTTAAATTTAACATGATGGAATTTTCTCTACACATATAAAATTACAGATGTTCAGAAAAGCTGATACAAAGAGTAGATAGTTGGATAAATATAGGTGACTAGCTAATCATTTATATATCGTCGATGAGTACGTTAGTGTAGTGACAAACAGTATAAAGTATTATAAATATGCGTGTGCATAAGAACGTATTTATACTTATATAAATAAGTATCCAATCGTGACCAACTGAACATTGGACTGGATCACTGGCGCCATAAGGTCCGTTTGATTAGCGTGTAACTGTCGACCAATTATGAAGTATTAATATCCTGACATGAGTCCCTAAGCTTGATCCACAATCGATCAGTACAGAACTCATGCAAAATTAGATTAAGGTACAATTTAATATATTTGGACGTAAAATGCATTTAATTATTAAACGTATAAGTTAATGGCTCGTTATTTTCTTGCTATGTCAGAGTTTTAAACAGATCCAAATAAATATTTTCAATAAGTTTTGTATTAAACTTAAAAAATATTTGATGG